TAAGATGAGCTGTGGGCAGACACTTGAGAAAGCGTTTGCATCCTGCCAGATCGTGACGAACAATTACCTTGAGTTTTGGCTACGATTTGCGCAAGTTTTGCAAGCCATGGAGGCTTGTGCGCCAAAATGCACCAGTGCATCATGGCAAGTGCAGCAAGCTGCCTTTGATGCACCTTGATGCGCAGATGGAAGTGTTCGCCAGCTGTGCGCCGGAGGCTGCTTGCAACCTGCTGCGAGGCGAGGCCTCTTGTCTGTCAACTGGATGGGGACATTTTGGGCTACAGGCGCTTGCTGCAATGGTCGCTTGTCGCGGCGACCCGATGCACTCGTGGCCTGGGCTGAACTGGAGGAAAACCTAGCGCAGTTTCTGGACACTGGCAACATGGACTGCTTTTACATCCTCGTTCGCAGGAGCGCTGCGGGCGACCTCAACGTGCCAGTGCGTTGCTCGATGCTGCCTTGCAGACCTGTGGCCCTGCCCTCAACGGAGCTTTAAAGGAGCCTTCTCGTCAGGACATGATCATGTTTCTTCATATCCCTTCATCTCAGGTCAGGGATCCACAGAATTGATGGTTCGAAGAGTCGCGTTGGAGATGCGGAGCGCAGTGGCCAGCTTAGCTGACCGGGCAGGAGCTGCAGTATCATGGGTTGTTCAAAGTGCGGCAGTGCAAAGATAGACAAACCTGAGCCAGGAAGTCTGTAACCAGTTACGAAAGCTTCTCTGAGCTTTCGTCTGAGTCCAGCTTTGCTGGTCTGTCCTCAGGAGTGTGGGGGAGGGGAACCCACCCAAAATGGTCAAATTTGGCGGTGTTTTTCGGGGCCAGCCCGTGGGCCTCGGAAATAGGAATGATCCGCTCGGGACGCCAGATGGCAGAGGGCGTTCGCGCTCCGCCGCTTCATGAAAAACAGATAGGAGCCACGAACCCGAATGCAGACACGTGTCACGTACATGCAATGATAATAACACCCCACAAGCGAAACCACTTAGGAGACTTAGGTCCGGGGTCATCCCTTTCTCCTCTGTCTCCTCCTCTCTCTT